TCTCTCATGAGGTCGGGTGACTCTCCCTGATCTCCTTGGTAACAGCTGTGGCTGGATAGGGCTCTGGTCCTCCACTGGCCATGCACTGGCTCCCATCTCTGGGCTGGGTGTGAGTCCTTGTCCACACCCTTGTTCACAAGGTACTTCTGCAGGCTCTGCAGGGCTCGGTCCCTTTGGCTCTGTAGCTGGTCTAACAAACTGCTTGACATGCTGAATGTTTCGCTTGTATTGCACGCCTTGAGGTGACTTTAACTGGACTTGATCCCCATGACGTACTATCACCTGGTATGGCTCTTTCTCGTGATGTGGAGACAATTTACACTCCTTCCTTTTCTCTAGTAACACCAAATCCCCTTTTTGTATGCATTTCTCTGCTGCCTGATGCCTCTTGTCGGCATGGTCAGCCCCAACCTGCTTTTTTTCTGCATCGCGATCTCTGGCCTACTGATATCCCAGGTCATCAGATTCTTCTAGATCAGCAACCTCTGGCAACTTAGTAGACAATTTCCTCCCGAATAACAGTTCTTCTGGGCTCTGGCCAGTTGTTACATGCGGGATGGAACAGTAGGCTAGAAGATACTTATTCAACTCTAGTCTCCAGTCTCTCTTCTCAGCATGGGCCACTCATTGTTTTCAAAAGGGAACGATTTTGTCTTTCGACTTCCCCATTTGCCCTAGGCCATATTGGTGTGGTCAATCTATGGTCGATGCCCATTTCATTCAAGTATTCTTTCATTTCTTCGGACACTAGGTTGGGTCCGTTGTCCGTTCTCAGGGTATTAGGTACCCCATATCTGCAGAACTGTTTATCTAAACACTTGATAATCGTCTCAGAAGTGGTAGATTTAATGATGTCAACCTCCACCCATCGGCTGAAGTAATCCACTAAGACCAGCAGATATTCTCCTGTTGGCATAGGCCCAAGTAAGTCCAGTCCTAGGTCATGCCATGGCCTCTCTGGCATCCTGGTTATTTTAACAGGCGGAGTGATTGTCTCCTTTGTGACCAGTTGGCACCCGTAATATTCCCGGCACTTCCGTTCCACAGCCTTATTAACTCCTGGCCACCACACTTTAGACCTGTGTCTCTCCTTCATTTTGACGATTCCCTGATGACCTTCGTGCGCGAGTTCCAAAACCCTTCATCTCAGCACTTTGCGTATTACAATTCGTGTTCCACGTAGTATAACTTGACCAATGAACGTGAATTCGTTGCGCACCATCAAAAATGACCGTGGGCCCTTCTCCCAATTTCCTCTAACAAGGCAATTATGCACTGCTTGTAACTCTTCATCCTCTGCAGAGGCACTCTCTATCTCATGGACCTTAACGGCTACGGGGACTGCTTTAAGAGCAACCATTTGAACATGTGCGTCATCATAACGAAATTTCTCTGATGCTTCGAGCGTTGTCAGACGTGACAGGGCATCAGCAATATTATCTCGTGATGCGACGCAGCATACCTTGTAACTATATGGTTGCAACCGCAACACCCAGCGTTCAATGCGTGCTGATGGCTTGGATCCTCTAGAGTAAATCACCTTCAAAGCCTCATGATCTGTCACCAAGTCAAAGGTCTGCAAGCCGTTCAAGTATTGGTTGAACCATTCGCACGTCCACACTAGTGCGAGCGCTTCTTTTTCTGTCTGACTGTATCTCCTTTCTACGCTGCTAAGGCTCCTGCTTGCGTAACAGATGGCTCTGTCCACACCGTTCTTCTCCTGGACTAGCACTGCACCTAGCCCCACTGGACTTGCATCAGCTATCACTCGAGTATGTGCCTCTTTGTCAAAGTATGCCAGAACAGGCGCCTTGGCTAACTGCTGTTTCAGTTCCTGAAATGACGCTTCTTCCTCACTGTCCCTTACAAAGGGTACTCCCTGCCTAGAGATCGCTCGTAGAGGTTCTGCATTGGTTGCAAAGTTGGGAATAAAACGTGCAATGAAGCCGGCCATCCCCAGGAAGCTCCTAACCTCTTTTGGTTTGGTTTTGTGGCTTGATTCAAGTACAGCACGGACTTTCTCTTCGGTTGGACCGATACCGTACTTTGACACTAGAAGTCCTATGAAGACTACTTTGTACATCCTGAATAGCTCTTATCATTGTATCTGCAATGCAAAGGGTCCGCGGAGTTACAGTTTCAGGACGAGGCTATCGGGTCAACGTTTCTCGAGAAACACCAGAAACACTCCATGTCTGACCACATAACTCTGGAATCTATGTATTTTTCTGCCGAGGAAAAGGTTAAAATTCTTAGTCCTGGCATCACGAAAGGAAAATTGAAAGAATGGCTGTCATTTCGGAAAGGAACGGCAAAAATTTGTCGCGTTTGTTGATGACTACGGTTGTTTTTCCTTTGTCGGCCTTTTTAAGGTTTAACTCAGAGTCACGTTTCAAGGCACTCAGCGCCTTGCGTTCGGCCGGAAGCAAATTATCTTTTCGCTTTGTAATTTTCTATTTCTGAAAGGTCACTTTTAACCTGTTCTAAATAGCTTTCAAGGGCTACCGATTTTTGTATTGGTGGTATCCATGTAGATTTGATGTGGCAGGGATGGGTTTTTTTGTCCTCCCCTCGGAATATGTAAATGAAACGCATTCTCCTTTCCAACTGATCAAAGTCACACAATAGTTGTTTTTTGGTCTGTTTTTGTTTTGTAGCGGGTTTTGAAATGAATATGAGCTCTTTTGCCAGTAAAGTAATCTGGTCGTTTGTAAGTTCTTTATTTGAGGGTTTTTTTATGTGGGTTTTGTTCGCCTCTAGTTTGATAGTTGAACTTCTTTGGCAGGACCGCGGTTTCGATCCTAATCTTGTGGATCTCGTCAGTTGCGGACTCACTAAATAGACTGTTGCACCCGTACGCAATACAATGTCTAACCACGACGAGAACACGCTATATCCTTAAGAAAATGAATAAAAATGCCTCCAAACGCAGCCGTTTGCTTCGATTTTAATTGAAAGTTTTACCTGTGTGACCCGAGAGCCCCGTGTCGAAACTTCAAAGTCCGCTGAGCTCTCGCACAGTGGACGTAAATGCGATAAGGGCTATTGACACTTCTGAGGGTTGAGGGTGAGATTCCTGTCCTCTAATCGCTGCAATACTTTATGAAGATGCCTGTCATGCTCCTCATTCTTCTTGCCATGCACTATCAAGTCATCGGATATGTTCAGAATCCCACCGATATCAGAGACCACTTGTCTTATTATCTGCTAATACTTCTCAGGTGCTGAGTTTACTCTGAAACTCAGCCTCTTTTATCTGAATAACCCATCATGTATGGCAAATGTGGTTATATCTCTGGAGTCCTCATCTAGTTCAGTCTGGTGGAATCCCAGACAAAGATCCAGTTTTGAAAAGACTGCAGTGCCATTGAGATTTTCCAACACCTCGTCCACCGTCGGGATGGGTATCCTTTCACGAATGATAGCTGCATTTGCCTTCCTCATATCTACGCACAACCGGATATCCCCTGATTCCTTTGGCGCAATCACCACAGGACTAACCCATGACGTCAGCCTATTCACTCGCTCCACTATATCCTTGGCAATGAGGTCTTCAACTTTCGCAGTTACTTTCTCTCGCCGTGCAAATGGGACACGCCTTGGTTTCTGAGCTGCTGGTGTCACCTTTGAGTCGACGTGTACTTTCAGTTTGTAGTCTTTCAGCCCGCCGACGCCAACAAACACTGTTGGATACTTAGCCTGAAGAACTGGGGCTAAGTTCTCGCCAACGACATTGCACTCCAGAAACTTACTGCTGACGCTCGAACTAGTACGAAGCAGACCCAGAGCTTCGTAGTCCAGAGGTTTCGTAGTCCAGCAGACACCTGCCACTCTTAGTGACGACGAAATGCGAACCTATCCTCTTATCACCTGCCGAGATCTCAACTTTAACGTGGCCAATCACTTCCAACTTTCTCCCGCCATACGCATACAACCGTTTGTGGCAATCCTCCATCTTCGCGTTAAGGCCTTGGGCCTTAAGCTCTTCATATTCTTCCATTCCTATGAGGTTACTTACTGACCCTGAATCAATGAGTACTCTTGTTGTAATGCCATTAATATTCACTTCCAGCACTGGTTCTTTGAGACTGGTTGCATTGCATGTTTCTCCTTGATTCTCTGTAGCTGCAAATGCAAAAGCACAGTTTTCCTCGCTGTCAGATGCGTTCTGATCGCCCACGAAGTTAACATTGTAAGACTGGCGTCTATCAGAATCCCTCCTTCGCTGATCCGGTTTACCTCCAGTTGCATAATTACCACTCTGTGCCTTACAACACAAAGCAAAATGACCATACCTCCCACATTTTTCACATTTCTTTCCTTTTGCTGGACAACTCAACTTTTCTTTCATAATTTCGATTTTTTTGGCTGCAGACTCTGAAAAAATACATATGGTCCGTCTTTGTCGGAAGGGGTTAAATATCAGTGATGTTTTTGTATTTCAGAAAAAAAAAACCTTTTCATGTGGCTGAATTTTTTTTTTTTTGCTTGAGCCTACTTTCACAGTGTCTAGCGGGTTAAGGAACAATATGATGCTGCTCCCAGGCCCCTTTTTTTCCTTTTGTACTCGGCAAGCAATAACTAAATTGAATTTTAGGTGAGCCCCCTCTCCCCATCGACCCTTCAATCTTTGCTCTCTGTGACATGCGTATAGTAATTTGAAATAGTTTAACTTTTAAAAGAAGTTGCACCCGATACATTCTTCTATACAATCGCTATGGAAGTTTTTTAAACTTAAAAGTATGTCTTTACGAAAAGATTTTACGTGAGTAATGCTTTGCTGTTGCTTATTTTTGCCATTAAAGTACTAATCGTGCACCTAGTGGGAAAGGAATAACTCATGATTCAGCGGCAAGGAAGACAGTTATTTTTTTTCGAAGTATTCAGACCTCGTAGGGATTAGAAAAGCAAACGTAGACGCGATAAGTAATAAGCTGAGTGCAGAAATCCTAGTGCAGTCAAAATCCCGGACGTACGTTTACATTTTGCTGACTGAAAGTGCATCTTAGAAGACACTGGTTTCGATTAAATGCTAGAAACAACTGAGCTGTTCCTTTTAACTGATCTATCAAAAACCTGAACTTAAAACTACAGTTGCAAACCTCTCTAGCGCTTTGGCGCTTAATTATTTCTTTCTGAAACATTACAGACTGAAAAAAAGTTTGTTGTCGGCATTGCCAACGCTTGTGCCGCTATGGAATAATGTGCCAGCCTCGCATGCAGACGGATCCAGCTAAGAAGTTTAATTTCAGATTATATTTCGGATTTAGTCTTTGATTCTAGATCTCTTTTAGGCCGCATTCTTTAGTGCTCAGAAGAAAGTAATCTTTGAGAAGTGGAAACTATTTTGAGCGTATTAATTAGCGGTTTATTTTTCACGTTGTATTCATTCGTTTTTGCCACAAGTGTTGTTGTGTCTCCCTTCAGAGATAAATCAATCTTTTAATGGCCATAGAAGATCTCTTGACCTTTCATGGAATCGTGTATCTAATATGTTGAGTTGAAAGCAAGTCCTAATTACTTGAGAGAGACAACAAGAGCAAAAATCTGTTATCTTCTTTTTCTCCCTTTTTTCGCTCTTGTAAGTTTAATATTGATCATTCAATAAATAGGAGAGGAATGGGAGTTAACTTCTCAGAGATACACAAAGATAGGCTGTCATTATTAAACATTGTTTCTTTCATTATTTCAAAGTTTTCTGTTGCTGGCTCAGAATTTTATTTTCATCTGAGAAAGTACATATGATCCGCATTTCTCGGGGGTAGCTGTATATCAGTAATTTTTTTTTTTTGTATCACAGGAAAAAAATGGTTTTCCTTAAGACTACAATGGTTTATTTTTCCCGTAACGAAAAAAAAAAAAAGAAAAAAAAAACCTGTATAGTTTACGTATATATTTTTTCTTTCTCGCAGCAAGTATGTGAAATATTTTTGCTTTTGCACTCGTAGGATTTAATATGTCATGCAAATTTCATGCATGTCCTCGAGCCTTTGTTTTGTTGGGCTGCTTGGCTTGTGATAATGTCTGGTGAGAGAGAAATCTCAACTGAATGCATGCGCCACCTACAATATTAATACACTGATTTCGACCTAGCGACGCAAACTACTAAACTGTTCCATTTTAACAGATGTATTGAAAGCCTTATCTTATCTAACGCTTCGAAAATATCTGGAACGTTTTGCGCTCTATTTCCCCAATGGGAAGAATGTTAAAGTTGCACAGCAGAACTATTATATGCTAAGACCTTGTACCCCAAGGGTGAGTCAACCTCCCATGTGCACTTAAAGGTAGCTATGCTTATTTGAATGCGCTGGTATTTTTAATCAGAGATTCTAAATACTCGAAAACAATGAAAGCGCTCGTTTCACTTTCCTCAATCTCTTTCCTCGACGGCTGATCGTGTTTAAAAAAGACTTTGAAAACCATCCAAAACTTTTACCCAGTAGAATATAAACCTGCTGTAAAACATTTCTATATAACGTTCCGTAGTCAAACAGCTATTGACTCCCAAGATATCTGTTTGATTACCGTGAAAAGGCGATATCATTATTCACTTGTTCACTCGCATGGCAACAAAGTCAAACAAAGTCCGTTGACCGATGGACGGCCGATCGTAAAACCTTTTATAGTTGTTGATCGATCAACGGCCGATCGTGTTTAAAAACAACACTCGAAATCAATCCACGACCTACACCCAGAAGACGAGTGCAACAAGTGAATAATACAAAACGCTTCTTCAGGCGTAATCAAGCAAATATATTGGGAGTCAAGGCTATTTAACAACGTAAATGTCAAAATAAAAATATGGGGCTTCTTTGAAATTTTTCAGCGATAATCCACTTCAAGACATGTCATGATTCATTTATGGTAAACCTTGATTTCTTCGAGAGATACAACAAAAGGGAAAACTAAGCTATTTCTAGAATCCTTCCTCTTTGCAAACATAAAAGTATACGTTTTTCATTTGTGAATTAAAGTTTGCCCAATCTCCGAATACACTTTTATCTCTTACAGCGTATATTTCATTTATGGCGTCAATATTTCTATTTTTGAATGTATATATCCAGGAAAATGATTATTTTCTCGGAAAAAGAAAAAGAAAACAAAGAAAGGAAGTTAAGCACAACGCAAAATTTACCCGAGTGCGGCGGATTTGAACCACCTACGTCGCTTCCCTGAGAACGATATCTACAGCGTTTCTTTATAACAGAGGGACACTAAGGCACCACACTCGATTTCTATAAAACTTTATATAAATATTAATTTTACATCTAAAGCGCTGATCTTTTTGTTAATTCAACCGCGGGCTCAAACGACTCAAGTCGCTGTTTCCCGATAGTCCGATATTGAAGTGTCGCTCACGGTCAACTGCTCGTAAAGTGACTTGATTGAGGCTTGTTTGGTATACCTGGAGCTCCATCGACGTTGGAAAGTGGTTCACAAGTCGGAAGTGCAGTGAAATAAGCTTAAGCATAAGTTCAATCAATCGATATGCTGTTTCTTCAGTGGTGTAACTCGCACTGTGTATGTGTATGTTATTAGTGTGAACATCCTTGTACTTGTTTTCATCCTCTTGCTAATAATTATCTCAGAAGTGCGAAACGGGGTTCAAGCGCAGTACTCAGTTGCAACACAAGCATAAACATAAACATAACAAGCTAATGCGCTGGTTTGGCACAACGGCAACATAAACGTGAGCACAAGCGCTCAGTCGATGTTATGTTAAATAGGGACATGGTTGGTATAAGCAGTATAGTGCTGGCTGATTGCCTGAAAGTCCATCGCTTATGTTTCTCCTTACGCTTATACCAACGAAGTTTTAAAAAGACAGTATAAGCATAAAAAGAAGGCAACGTTTTGATAATCTTATGCATATATGCTTATCCTTATGTCCGAGCGTTCCATCGAGCGCATAAACTTTTACATGCCTATCCCTATGCTTGCATCGCAAGTAAATACTGAGCTCAATTATTGGAACGATAGTTTTATGATAAACGAAACAGCACCAATTTAAAATTTCTTTCCACAAACCTTTACAGTAAATCTGTAACAGTAACTGTCTTGCACTAAATCCTAATCAGGCCATGTTTTCTGTCTTTGAGGCCTAATTTAATTTTACATCATATTCCTCATAATGTTCATTTACCAGTCTAACGATTCGTACCCTAGTATAGAAATCAAACACCCATTTCTACTGACGACACAAATTAAATTGGCTTATCCAATTCACGCGTTGGCTCACAGAGCCTTTCATTTGCTTTTTGCTTTTTTCTATGACAACCTCATTGCAATTAGGTYTATATGTTTCCACATCGAAAGTCAGTTCTGTCGCCAACCAATTTTACTCGCGACTAGAAGTTAAAGGACGTACATAAATGTGTTTTTGTGATATCTCAAAACTTTTAATTATAAACAACAGAACTTGATCCTTTTTAAGGTAATCGTTTAGTTCTTAGTTAGGATATCTGAGACATTTGTCGGCTAAAATTGGCTTGCTTATTTGACGGTTGAAGGTAAACTTATTACGTTTTTGACGGTTGAAGGTTAATATTGTGGCCATTTGATGGTTGACAGCTGACTCCATTGGAATCCTCAATTAAGCTCTACAAATGTCTACAAATGATACTGTCTCATTGTATGTAATATGAGCTCTAGATTTTGTCTTCAGATTTTCATTTATCGTATTATGCGTTGGTTTTGTTGTTACAGCGAAGATAGCGTTGTTGCAGTGACAAATATCTTCTGCGATAGATATCCCATGTAATAAACCATATTAATAAATGAATAAAAATTATTAAAAAAATCAAATATGGTCTATTAACTTTTATTCCCGTAAATAAAACAAGCTTTGAGCTCGGAGATATTTTTTCAGCTAAGTTGGTGTGTGATTATAATAACACTTCGCGGGAGCTAATGCTTAGAAAGAATGATACATTATACAGGTAGTCAGCTTATCAGTAAGGGACTGAGATGATTTTGCAAACCTTATCCTTTTTTTCCATTTTGTTTTTATGTCGTACTTGATAGTAATTCCTCACTTTGTGAAGGTGTAGTCTGATCGTCCGGGTGAGTGTAGTCCTGAGAAGGACTGTTGTCGGTGGCAGTGACTGATGTTTCGACAACCTGTGCGGAAGTCATCATCAGAGTCAAGTGAATGATTGTTGTCAGTAGAATGTTCTTATTCCAGTTCGTGNCGAAACAGACCAATCACGACCGACTTACGTCACTTGAGTCTTACAGCCAATAACATCACGGCAAAACCAACCGATCATTTCACACGAACTGGAATAAGAACATTCTACTGACAACAATCATTCACTTGACTCTGATGATGACTTCCGCACAGGTTGT